AGGCAAGGTCAACAAGGCTTGGTCCACAAACCAAGCCAAAACACAAAGAGTTCAGAGGCCCGGAGGCAAGGCACTCAGCCGAAAACTTCGGAAACTCGAAACGAGCACAAACATGCGCGATCATCGAGCGCTCAATCAATAACGTCTGAGTCTTAAGATCGATCAAAAATGGGGTGTCTATAGCGCTGCATTAGGAGTGCAATCACTCATCTGGAATTTCTCCAAAACTCTTTCAATGTACAGTCCTAATGTCCTTTTGGACCTATCTTTGTGAATCTCTATGCCAATGACATAAGAAGCTTCACCCATATCCTTCATTTCAAAATTTTGAGAAAGAAGTTGTTTAATATCATGCAACAACTCCAAATCATTAGATGCAAATAAAATGTCATCCACATATAGAACTAGAAAAATGTATTTGCTCCCACTAATCTTAAGGTATATACAGTTGTCCACAACATTCTCCATAAAATCATATGAAGTAATAACATTGTGGAACTTTAAATACCACTGTCGGGAAGCTTGTTTTAGTCCATATATGGATTTCTTGAGCTTGCAAACTAAGTGACTATCTTTATTAGAACAAAAACCTTCAGGTTGGTTCATGTATACTTCTTCCTCAAGATCCCCATTTAAAAATGCCATTTTCACATCCATTTGATATAGCTCTAAATCAAAATGAGCTACTAATGCCATGATAATTCGAAATGAATCCTTCTTAGAAACCAGAGAAAATGTATTATGATAATCGATGCCTTCTCTTTGAGTGAAACCTTTAGCTACCAGTCTGGCTTTATATCGTTTGACATTGCCATTTGAGTCTTTCTTGGTCTTATAAACCCATTTACAGCCAACCGCTTTAACTCCTTTAGGCAACTCGGCAATTTCCCAAACTTGATTCTTAGTTATAGATTCCAACTCTTCCTTCATAGCATCATACCATAATTTAGAATATCCCTATTTATGGCATTGGAAAATGAAATAGAAACATTTTTAGGTCCGATGTCAAAATCAGACTCCATTGAGTATACAAAATAATCACCAGAAATTGCTGACTTTCTAGCTCGTGAGGATCTCCTTAATTCTGTAGTCTCAATTGGGACTTGAGCTACAGGCTCTATGTTGACTTGTTCCTCTTGTGGTAAAAGTTCTTGAATTTGTTGATTTTCAAGAATATCGGTTGATTATCTTGAAAGACAACCAATTCACCTATATTCATGGGTGTTGTATCAGGATCCCGTGATTCCTTCCACTCTATCTTTCGAGGGTAACTCCCACTAGGGTCAACTCCCTCAATAAACTTAGCATTTCTGGCTTCAACAATTCTAAGTGAATTTGAAAGACAATAAAATCTGTAACCTTTGGAGTTTTTCGCATAGCCTATGAAAAAACACTAACTGTTTTGGGGTCCAATTTCTTTAAATGTGGGTTATACACCCTCACTTCAACTAGACAACCCCAAACGTGTAAGTGTCTTAAACTTGGCTTCCATCCTTTCCATAACTCAAATGGTGTTTTGGGAACAACCTTGGATGGAACCTTGTTTAAGATATACACAGCGGTTTTCAAAACTTCACTCCACAAATTTATAGACACATTAGAATAACTAAGCATGCTCCTTACCATGTCCATAAGTGTTCGGTTCCTTCTTTTAGCAACACCATTTTGTTGTGGTGTCTTCCGTAAGGAACTTAGCAAATGGACCTGGTAATTGTCCCAATTCTGTGTACCTCCCATAATATTCTCCACCCCTGTCTAACCTCATAATTTTAATTTTCTTTTTTGTTTGTTTCTCCACCTCTGCTTTATAATCTTTAAAGGCATCAAGTGCCTCGGCCTTATCAAACAAGAGGTAGAGATACATGTATCGCATGAAGTCATCAATAAATGAGATAAAATATCTCTAACCATTCAGACAAGGTGGAGTAAATGGTCCACAAATATCAGTGTGTATAATTCCAAGAATTTCCTCACTCCTTTTGGCACCTTTACTGGTCTTGTTGGTCTGCTTTCCCTTTATGCAGTTCACATAAATACCAAAGTTGGTAAAATCAAGAGTTGGAAGGACTTCATCATTAACCATCCTTTTTATTCTCTCAATGGAGATATGTCCCAATCTCCTATGCCAAAGAATAGAGGATGACTCATCAACAATATTACGCTTAATGCCAATATCACCATGTAAGGTTAAAAGATTTTGTTCAAAAACATGATCCATATTTAATTTGTACAAACCATTAATTAAAGTACCAAATCCTACAGAAACAGAGTCTTTAAACAAACTAAAATTTGCACCAACAAACTGAAATTCGAATCCAAACGAAACTAGTCTAGAAACATAAATTAAGTTTTTTGAAAAAGATGATATGTAAAATGCGTTTTCAAGATCCAAAACAAAGCCATTTTTTAAAACAAGTCTGAAAGTTCCAACAGCTTCGACGTGCGAACGCATCCCATTGCCCGAATAGATGCCTTGTTCACTTCCTGTCGGTTTCCTTAGGCTAAGGAAGCCTTGCATGGTATTAGCAATGTGAATTGTAGAATCCGAATCAATCCACCAATCATATTGATGAGTATTAACAAAATTAGATTCATAACACACAAGAGATATGAGATTACCTTTCTTCTCAATCTCTGAGGACTTAAGATGAGCTACAATGTCCCTCATTTCCATAATGTGCTCACGCACACTCCTAGAATTGTTATGCTTCATTCCTGATAGTTTGTTCATTAGGGTGCTTGCCAATGCTTTGTTAGAACTAACAAATTGCTCTTTCATAGCCCTCATGTAGTTCTTGACCTTATCAGATTGTGGGATTGAGCCCCTAATGCTCTGGCTAATATGTGACTTTATGAGTATTAGGCTTAAGCGATTGGATCGCCCCTACTTATCATAAGCACTCTTTTCTGCAGCGGAACTCTCGTCTGTAGGTTCAGGGGGTTCATCCACACGGAGTGCCAGATCAAGGTCCATGCGCCCTAATGTTAGAAGGATTTTTTCCTTCCAGTCCGAAAAATTATCACCGTTTAAGAATGGAATATGAGAAAACTGATTAAATAGTACAGAGGTAGAAACCACTACAATTACCAAGAACATTATTAATGCTTTGAAACAATAGCTATAGTCTGAATCAACCAATGTCAAATTCAGTAACAAATCTAAACCTTCTTGTGGGTAGAGGTCACTAAACTGTATTAGATTTGCTATTACTTTATAATAAGACTAATGGGTTCCGAAATATTTAAGAAAAAGAAAACTCATACCTGTGGGTTTAGAGTGTTCAATCCCTTTAAGACCTAATCCATTATCTTATTCCAATTAAATTTCATAAATAATTACTTTCCTGTGGGACTAAGAAATTATTTATAAAACATAATTGCAATGTAAAAATGCCCAATTAATTTTTTTAACTTTATGTGATCAAAATACTGAGGATCACATCTTTATGTCTTAAGATGCTGTGGCTACTCGTAAAATAGAATAAAATTTTTAAATATGGCATAATTTACTAATGTGAGCAAATTCTTATAGTCGCAACAAATACATAATCTTTCAATGCACATAATGTATAATATATACAATCAGAGTAATATCACATGAAAAATCCCAAGACCAAACACATGTAATTCAACCTTATACTAGAATTTGCTTAAAAATTGGACCAAAATAAATTCCATAAGCCCAAGACATAGTGTATTCATACTCTTATTTCACATGAATTTTCAATGCATAAATAATTACTTTAATGCATGTAATATAATATTACATTATTTTAGATAACATGCCAATGAATCTCAAAAATTATAAAAACTAAAAGAACATGTCATATTTCACTGTATGAGATTCAATTGAATTTGCTTACTATTTAAACATGCAACGATAATAAACAAAATATCCTTAACAGCATGTTAAAATTTCGTTATGAAAATTCTAGAAATAAACTCAAGTCTTTCATTCCTTTTTTTAAAATAAACCAAATAAATCCAAATAAAAGTATGAGAATTTCTAGATTTTATACAGAATCAGATTAAATATTTTGCTCTTTAAGGTGTGTGTCAAAAATAATAGTTAATGACACACAACAAGTCTTCTAAATAAAATAGATTCAGAGTAGGAGAAAATTCTAAATAAATGTAAATACCACTAGCACAAAGCACAATGGACTCTACTATTGCTACAGTGCTTCCTTTTTCTTTAATAGTGATATTCAAAAGTTATGCAATATAAATTACTCATTCTAATTCTACAATGATTCTGAATTGTTAAATTTTATGGTGTGAATTAGATTCAATATATGACTGTACACATCAAAACATTCAGTAAATTATTGAATAAAACGTTCTACACTGTAAGATGCGGAAGTTTGATTTTATGTAGATGAAACAAATACTAAACAACATAACAGAAGGTTGGCTCTGATACTAATTGTGAGAATTAAAATAATTTTAATTCAGAAATAAGAATACCTCCTGCCATGATGTTCAAGCTTTTGAATCTTTATCCTTGAATGATCAAACCTTGAATATGTAAAAAGTTCACTCACAGACCACTTTTACAGAACCATATGGGAAAAGTGAAAGGGACAGAGTTTCAAACCTATTCTATTCACAAAACAACGTCTGTGTTTGATGGCTATCACAGACATATATATAGATAGGCTTGGACCCATGTCCAAGTGTAACTCCTTATAACTTCCCACCATCAGGGAAGTTGTAAAGTCCCATGAAACCACCATATGGGATAGTAAACAGACATGAGTTACCCATTAGTCATTAAACCAAATAAATATATATAATCTATATAATAAGGCACAAAAGTTTTTGAAAAATGTATCAAAATGTATGTGAGATACATTTTGATCCAATGGCCAAGATCAGTTCTAAGAATATATTAATGGTACAGATCATAATAAAGGACAATGTGATTCCCGCTTAAACATCTCTCCCTCAGCCTTCCACCTACCCACGTCTCTCTCTCTCTCTCTCTCCCACTCTGTTCTCAGCCACATCTTCTCCCCATTTCCTCTTTACCTCTCTCGCCCTCTCTGATCTTCTTCTTCCCTCTTCATACTGACGCTGCTCACTCCTCCCCTTACAACCCTCCCTCATCGCTCGGCTTGCAAGGTAAGATTTCCTCGATTTCTATCTCTCCACTCTCCCTCTGTTTCGATTTCTTTTTCCCTGTTCGATGCTTTGGCGCTGCTCTCGAACTCTCTCTCTATCGGGTGAAGGAGATTCCACATTTGTGATCGATTTAGTGAGATGTATGATTGTTGTTGATAGATTTATCAGAGAGTGACTCCGAACCACCAGAAAAGATAGAGAAATCAAAAGAATGGTGATGATGGCTGCTACCGCCGTGAAGGGTGCGGCCTCGACGGCTCTGCGAGCGGTGCTCCACCGAGTCCGCCAGGCTCCTGAGAGATCAGGCCGCATAGCCGATGATGTGAGGGTGGTTGCAGTGAGCAAAACCAAGCCCATCTCTCTCATCCGCCAAGTCTACGACTCTGGTCATCGCTGTTTCGGCGAGAACTATGTCCAAGAGATCATCGAAAAAGCACCTCAGGTTCTCTCTCTCTCTCTCTCTCTCTCTAGAAGTTTGTTTTGGAATTGAGATTGTGTGGAGTAAGAAGATGCTTGATATTGAAATTATTGAACATTTTACAGCTTCCTGAGGACATTGAGTGGCATTTTGTTGGGCATTTGCAGAGCAATAAAGTGAAATCACTTTTGGGTGTGGATCTCTTTTGATTGTTCAGTTAACATTCTTTTCATTATGTCTGGAGTTTCTATTATAAATTATCATTGTTGCAAGATTATTGAATTATTATTCCCTCAAATCAAATGTGTGGAACTTTTCTTGATTCTTCATCAAAGTAAGGAATCTTGATTTTATGATTTCTGAATTATTGCTTCCCTGAATAATGCGCAAGTTAGTTGCTACTAATTGTTTGAATACATAACTAAAACCTCGAACTCTCTCTCTATCGTGAATGAATTTCTTGAATCCGTAAGTGTAACTCCCACAGCTTCTGTGGTAGATTGGGGTAAATAGGTATTTAATCAGTGGAACATATTTTTAACTCCTATTTTTGTCATTCAATTTCAGCTTCTGTGATAGATTGGGGCAAATAGGTATTTAATCGTTTGGTTTATATTGAAGCAGTTTTTACCTCTTCATCCCCACCTCCTGGCAGACATGCAGTGAGTTGCATATTTCACTAATCATAGAAAACATGATTTGGCTACCATTGTGAATATAGTTTGCATGTGTAATTTTCTTTGTATTATATTCTTGATTTGTTGAGTTATATATGAGTGTCTCACATGTATTTTTTATAGTGTTCTTAATATAAGTTTGTATCTCAGGATGATCTTTTTACGTCCTTGATTTTCCTTTGTAACAGCCAAAGATTGCGTCCCACAATTCACGACATTATCACTGGCAAGATCAAAGGTTATGCAGAGCACTTTAGTTGCTGAAGGGCTGGCATTGGTCAGGCCGCATTATTTGAAAGGGCATTTGGAGAGCTACCAGTTGCCAATTGGCTGGAATATCATTGGATGCTGGAACGCTATTGGAGAGCGACAGAATATGAGTGTCTCACAGAGCTACTATTTGGAGAGCGACAGAATGGAATATCATTGGCTGGAACGCTATTAGCTGTCAGCCCTGTCTCACCTGTGATGGCTCCCATTGGAACAGCACAGGCTGTAGCAAAGGAACTTCTTAATTCGATTTTGGATGCTGTTGTTCGGATATTCGGGTATTCTTTTCCCTTTAGTTTTGGGTATTCTTTTCCCTTTTGTTGAATTTAAGTTTGACCATATAAATGTTCAGAGAAACATGTTATTGTTGGAGAGCTTCTAGAATCAAAATCCTCACAACAAAGTGACATGAACACACCAAAGTCAATGGCAGAGATAAATTGGAACCCTGATTCTGATGCATCTCATGATACTGGAGGCTACAGTATCGGCTTTTCATTGACAGTTTTGCAGGTAGTGTCTGCCATTGTATTTGTCATTAGCTTTCTGGTGCTAATCTAGCGACCAATTGAAAAATTTTCATTTTCTGAATTTCAACATTGTCCATTTAATTAAAAATATTGGTTCATAGATTTAGTTCTCATTGAGTCTTATTTTTCTAATTTTGTATAATAGAGTGAATGCCAACAGCTTATATGTGAGATTCTGCAGGCAACTCCTGAAGCTGCATCTGCAGATGCTGCTGTACAAACAGCTAGACTTGCAAACAAGGCTCCTTCCAAAGAAAAGAGGCAGGAAACTAAAACTTTATTTTTCTTTTATATTGTATGCATACCTTTTTGGCATTCTTTTCTCTGTAATTTCCTTCTTTGTATCTTTGAGGCTCCTTTTTTTTTTTTTTTTTCTTCCCCCTCTCTTGAAAATGCAGCTGGCAAGGGCTCTTGGGCTGCAACCAAGACAAATAGCTATATGGTTTCAGAACAGGAGGGCTAGGTGGAAGACAAAGCAGTTACAGAAAGACTATAATGTTCTTAAGAGACAGTTTGATGCTATCAAGGCTGATAATGATACTCTCCAATCTCAGAACCAGAAACTTCAAGCTGAGGTATGGTTTTCGAAATTTTTGTTTTTTCAAAAACAAAAATAATGAGGAGTTCAGAAACACTCATCGTTTTCGTTTTTGTTTGAAAACAGCTGTTGAAAATTTGGAAAAGTTTTTGAAAGTGTTTTTCTAAAAGACGGGTGTTTTTAGAAATTGCCAAACAAAGTTTTCAGATCATTTTTTTTAAAACAAAATTTGAAAACAAAACCAAAGGGAATTAATTCCAAAATTATTTTGATGCTTTGGGAAGATGCATGTGTTGATAACTGTTAGATTTTAGTTTGGACAAAATTCCCTTTCTTTATTGCCAATTGAGTAAGCAACTTTTCTTTTCTTTTGTTTTTGTTTTTGTATTTTTTTTTTTTGGGTGGATTGATTAAGAAGAAGAAAAAAAAATCAATTTGAATCACTTTAGATAGCCATAATTATGGTCGTCATTTTGGGTGTTGTTTCTGTTTTTCAAGTTTTCAGAAACAAAAACAATGAGTAGTTCAAAAACACCAATTGTTTTCATTCTTTTGTGAAAACAATTCAACTAAGCTTTTTTCAAAAAACTTCAATTTTCAAAAACAGTTGGCAAGCAAATTTTCTGAGTCAACTTCTATTTTCTGTTTTCCAAAGTAAAAGACAATACCTCGGTTTAACTTCAACTTGTAAACTTTTTAAGTTTCAACAAGTGTTAAACATAATCTCGGTTTAACTTCAACTTGTAAACTTTTGTCAAGTTTCAACAAGTGTTAAGAAGGTTTTTGAAAATATATAAAATGTCATAGAGATACATTTTGATCCAATGGTTTAAATTGTCTCATTTCAACTTTAATGGTTGAGATGTCTTTATTTCCCGCCCAAATGCTCTTTGAGCATCAACCGAGATCTAACGGTCCAAAATGTAAATTGAAGAAAATCTCTCATCTTTGATTCAACAAACCATTATACTTCTATAATTAGGTCTCTATACGAGTCGGAAGATCTAAGAACACACACACATGGATAACATATTAGCCAAAAACAAGAACAAGCTAAGCTAAGAGTTATTAGAGTTATTAGTATACTGGTATAGAGTTATTAGTATACTGGTATAAGACAGTCATGTCATAAAATATTAGCCAAAAGCAAGCTAAGCTTCTATATAATCCTTGAAGCATATTGATATTAACTATCCCTGTTTGGCTCCCATTTTTTTGGTATTTTTCTTCTGTTTTTAATTTTAGTAAATTTTATATACAAACATATATATAGGTTGCTAATATAACTGGCTCTTTGTAATACTTCTGCAAGTGTTCCTTATAGACATATGTTTTGATGCTTCTTCTATCTATTTCCTGCAATATAAAAGACCCTGTAATTTTTGAGTTAAAAGTTGCATTATTTGTGCTAGGAAAAAAAATTAGGCAAAGAGTACATTGTAACTACTATATTCGACAGAATTGAAATTGCACTTGCTGAAATTACAGATCTACTAACTAAATCTCATGTTCCAATCATTGGTTCTGGTAGCAGTCAGCCTTAGTGACTCCTTTGTAAACTTTGGTTCTCATATGTTATCCATGTGTGTGTGTTCATATGTATTTGTATTAGAAAATATTCAACAGACCACTATACTTCTATAATTAGGTCTCTATACGAGTCGGAAGATCTAAGAACACACACACATGGATAACATATTAGTCAAAAACAAGAACAATCTAAGCCAAGAGTTATTAGAGTTATTAGTATACTGGTATAGAGTTATTAGTATACTGGTATAAGACAGTCATGTCCTAAAATATTAGCCAAAAACAAGCTAAGCTTCTATATAATCCTTGAAGCATATTGATATTAACTACCCCTGTTTGGCTCCCATTTTTTTGGTATTTTTCTTCTGTTTTTAATTTTAGTAAATTTTATATGCAAACATATATATAGGTTGCTAATATAACAGGTATGGATCCAAATTCATTAAAGAACTTAAATAACATCTACATTTCAAGCTCCGACTTGATCATCCCAAATAGATAGATATCTTTTATCTACATATTCTGCATTTATACTTGATCATCCATAATAAATCTGTGTATACTACATTTATATCTGCAATATACTTGATCATCCATATTCTGCATTTATATCTGTGTATACTACAATTTCTGGAGGGATTGTAAGACTGATACACATATAGCACTTTGTACAAACTTCATTTCCTTCCATCATCAATCTACTTAGTGACAAGTAATAAAGGGTGTAATAGAGATTTGATTTTTTATTTAACATCTTTTCCCCTCCCCATATTAGACTACATTTTCATGTCCTAATTTCAATCTCACATCATAATAAATATATGGATACCAAATTGGTAATAGTAAATATTCACACTCACTTTTTTGTCTAATAGATATTCATTTTCCTACCTCAACAAAAAGAAAAGATGTTGTCAAAAAAATAAAAAAATAAAAAGCAAATTGGCTGTTAACACTAAAATGTAGAGCACATATGTAGAGCACTAAAATATACTACATTTGAATATAGATTTAGATATTCTACACCGTGCCTTTAACAGCCAATTTGCTTTATGTAGAGCACTTACTGATGTGCTTTAGTGCTCTACATTTTAAATGTGAAATAGATATTCTTCTCTTTCTATTCACGTTTATGTATTTGCTATATTAGGATTTCATGCTTTAGGATCGTGTTTTGTGAAATGTGATTCGAGGTTTTTGCGAATAGGGTGAGTGATAAGTGTTAGAAAGAGAAGAGGAAGACGATCAATGGTGATGATTTGCTTTGTGCAATGGCTACTTTTGGGTTTGAAGATTACATTGTTTCGCTTAAAGTGTATCTAACTAGGTACCGGGAGGTATAATTGTCTCTATCTTTGATTTTGTATTGGTTCTGCATATGTTTAGAATCATGATTTCTAAACATTTTAAGAACTCAATTCTCTGAAGCCATTTATTGTAATAGCCACTGTCGGCTGGAGGTTTTGTTTGTTTAATTTTCTCTGCAATTGAACCAAGGATTAGCTTATATTCTTATCTGATTTTCTGTTACTTGCATAATCATTATGAATTTAAACTGACACCATTTTTTTTTCTTTTCAATTTTGCTCGGTTGATTTTGGGAAATAATTGTGGTTTCTCAGTTGGAGGTATTTGAGCCAATTTCTTGCCGGAATTACTATTGTTCCTTATTTTGTTCATTACTAATTCAGGCAATAAGTTGTAATTTTTTGACATGGTAACACAAAGGGATCTGCTAGCGGAGGTGATCGGTCCTCTAAAAGAGATATAGTTGGTGCTCAGATTGATCCAAATGCATTGGTAAGGCAGCAAATAGCCTTTTTTTTATTTTGCCACATGAGTGTGTAAGTTTAAATGTAATTGTCCTTTTGATCCGGTGGAATGAACTTCAAATAACAATTTCATTTTGTTGTCTTCTGTTTGCATCTGTGGTGGATAAATTTGGCAGTTTGCTCATCAACAGTCCTTCACACAAGGCATGAACTATTTGAATTCCGAAGTGTGAATTCCAAGTAAGTCTGTTTGTGTCTGTGTGATTAGCCTAATCCAAATGTAATTCTTGCTAAGTGAGCATCAACTTAGAAGTGGAGCAATTATGTGGAGATTTTTGGATACCCATGGAAGGTCACATTTTACATTACCATTTCACGCATTTCCAGCCCTCTCCACTTAAACAGTAAAGAAAATAATCAAGGAACGTCTTCATAGTGGCCCTCTAACTTCATGTTAAATTGCTTGCTTTGAATTTTCTCATTATCCACTGACCCACTAATAACTTATCAGAGTAGCAAATGCTTGTAATTATATGATTTTTATCATATTTGTTTTAAAAAAAAGTAAGTGATAAGCATAATTTTATAATAGACTTTTCATTTCTTAACGATAAACATGATGAAATTAATTAACTTATTTTATCAAATTCAAACTAGTGGTAAACCCTACTAATCAGATTACGCCTTTCCAGTTAATACCAGGACTGAAGTGAGCTGCTATGGGTGTAATTTTGTGTTGTTACCTTGAAGGAACATCTCAAATAATTGGTTGTTATGCACATACAATTATGTCATATGGCTTGCTTGCATAATGTTTAAAGGGCCACCACTTTCATGGGCCCAAATTGAGAGCTTAACTCAGAAACTTTTATGTTTTTATCATTGAACAAAATTGTTTTCATCATCTAGAACAAAATTATTTTGTTTTCATAATTTATGTATGCTCGACAGATTTGATTCAATATCTACAGATTTTATTTCCATACAATGTATGTATGGTCGACAAATTATTTAGTATAGAGCATAAATTTTTTTTCTTAATAGTCTCTACCATTTCTATATCCAAAAACTACTCTCTTGATAGTATGGTCGGCCATACATACATCCAAAAACTAGAGTGAATTTGTTTTTTAACATCAAAATAACTGTCAAAAATAAAAATTTGACCTAATTCTGTTGTATGTGTATTTTTTATTTATATTTATTTATTTATTTTTGTTCTAATTTTGTTTCCACATTATGTTATTTAGTTTTCACTACTCATGAATTGTAATGTGCGACATGGAAATTGCTCTCATTGTTGTCATTATTATTGTTTTATTTCGTTTCAAGTGTCATCTTTCAATCGCAATCTGAATCCTGCAAAGTTTCAATCAAGCATTTTTGGTACTGTTGTTCCTGGTAAGCCATCTTCCTTATAGTTGAG